TGAAGCAGAAGGAAGAGAGAAAAAGGAAGTGCCTACAGCTGCATGACTGGGCTGCGGCGTGGGGGACGTAGCCACTCTCCAGAGTCTCCGCGCATCGATCCAGTCATGCATCTTTTCGGCCAATGGGGAGGAAAAAAAGGAGGCACGTGTTTTAGCATGGAAAGAAATAAAGAAGGAGAAGTTTACAGTTACACCCGCACTTCGCCAAGAGGGAGCAGGAACAAATTACAGTTGCGATTAGAATAGAGGCGCGGCGGGAACAGGGCGCAGGACAGGGCGCAGCAAAAAGCTCGCGAGTAAGGAGCATTGTGCAGTTACAGCAGCAAAAATCCGTGACAAAATTACGATGCCCCCAATCCCTAGTCTAATTGAAGTTTTAATTCCTATTGCTCCCGTACTTCAAGAGTCAAAAAGACTTTTCCCGTGCGATGAGCGTGCCAAAGTTCCCTTCCCCATTTCCAGCAGAACAAGAAAGAAGCTATGACAACAATTATTTTTGCGCTCTCTAAGGCGCGTTCTAACTACCAACCACCATGCGACTAAGTTTTCTAAAAACGCTAGCGGTACTTGTGCAATTGAGTCGGCCCCTCCTTTCCAACCCCCAAAACACAGTTGCGCAGAAAGTCGCATGTTACAGAAAGCAGTTCGTCACAGCACGGCCGGGCCGCCCGGGAAAATAGGGTGACCCGGGCGGCCCGGTTGGTAGCCCAGGTACGGATGCAATTTTCCCTTTTTAAAAAGAAAGTACAGATGATAGCCTAACCAACTGAGTAAGGTCTCATCCAGCAGCCTACCTCAGTTGGTAAGGGACAGAAGTGACATCCAAGAGGTCTTGGGTTCAATCCCCATTGGCCTCCTATAGCTACCTTCCTGGGCATGCTGGCGCCCACCACCTAGAGATATGCCATTCCTAGCCAGTGGCATTGGAGGAGGGGATCGGAGGGGAGGTGACTGGCCCATCGAAGAAGCTCAGTCCAACCCATGCATGGCCAGCATCGCCTGCACGACTCCCGCATGTTCCCTTGTTCACAGATGTGCCAGGCCTAAAGATCATCTGCCATACATCATTTTTTTTGCAACAGAAGACCGTGTTTTTCTGGCATAGACTGTTTTGCAGCGGTGTTAGAGACAAAAGTTAATTGGCATGAGACGATTCTCCTACTCCCCTCTCGCTGCCCGCCTCCAGTCCATTGGGGGGTCCAAGTAGCACACCCAGCAGAAACACAGATTATTGAGCTATCACATTTCATTTGATGGTCACATAAGTCAGTCACACGAACAGATAGTGGCAAAAGTTCACGGTACTCTGCAATCCTGGGTTAAAGCAAACAGGGTGGCATGGTATAGTCACGCATTAACCCTTAATAATGTTGTATTCGCCAGAATATGGTATGAGCACACCATATGTGCCTTACATCCAAATGTCTACAGCTATATAAAAAGAGCAGCAACGAATTAATTTAGAAAGAGAAAACAGGGGAACATTTTTTTTTTTGCCAAAAGTGGCATGGTGTTGCATACTGTAACGGTGCAGACCAGAACAAGAACCGACCTCTCAATACAAAGTACAAGATAGCGTAACGGAAGACTTAGATACCAATGATCCGAACAATGAATATTGCAATGCAGCCCTGAACATACATCATCATCACCATTCCATGGTGTGAAGGGGTCTGGCGCTCACACAGGAAAGATGCGCCAGCCCCAACCATACACAGACGAAG